AGCCCGGGGGGGTGGGGGGGTGTGATTTCTCACTATCTGTCTCTCTGTCTTACTCTGTCTTTCTGGAGAGCACATGTGCCCTATAGAAAAAACCTCTCAAAAAAAAAAAAAAAAAAGATCTGGGAGAAGAAAACAGCGACAACACAACACGTGGAGCCTCTCCACCCCAGACACACATGCCGTGAAGATCACACCGCTCCTCTGAGCTGACGCCATGGTGGCTGGAATAGCTCCCCTCGGCCCAGGCTCCTCTGTGTGCTCTGTGTGTAGTTGCCAGGTCCCGAGCTGGCCCACCTTCCTTCTTCCCTGGCCCTCTGACTGAAGCCCTGGGCTGGCCTAGTCTGGCCTAGTCTGGCGGTCAGATCCAGCTCCCACTCCACACAAGCTTGCACCCCCACACCCCACACCGTCAGGGGGCCCCTAGCACAGGCCCATCACAGAATCTAGAATCCAGTGTCAAGTTACCTCGAACCATCTCAGTCTCTGATTGGATTAAGGGGGCGGGATTCCTGTGACCCCTAGACACCAGCAACAAAGGAAACCCTATTTAAGGAAGAGATTATCATGAGCCTCAACTGATCTCCAGATCTCCAAAACCTTTCTTTTCTTTCTTTCTTTCTTTCTTTCTTTCTTTCTTTCTTTCTTTCTTTCTTTCTTTCTTTCTTTCTTTCTTTCTTTCTTTCTTTCTTTCTTTTTGAGAGATTTTTGCTATAGGGTGCGCGCACTCACCAGAAAGACAGAGAGAGACAGAGACACAGAAAGCAAGAAATCATCCCCTGGGGGGATGGCCACGCCGCAATCCCTTCTCCTCCTTTCTCCTCTCGGGATCTTAGGCACGCACGCACACGCACCTGGTGTGAGTTTAAGCCACTGGGTCCAGGCTTCGAACCGTGGTTGACTACATGGGAGTTCAGCGACATAGCCATTACATACAGATTCCCTCTGAGGAAAGACGAGGCAATTAGTGGATGTCTCTACAGACGCAGACAAAGTGGGAAAACATGGACTGTATCTTTGAAGTGATTAAAGAAATAAGGTCAAAAGTGGGACCAGCACATGGTAACGGTTACATCATTGAACTCCCACATGGTTGACTACGGTTCAAGTCCTGAACCCAGCGGCTTGAAACTTAGGCTGGGCACACGTGCATGCACACGCAAGATCCCAAAAGGAGAATGGAGGAGAAGGGATTGCATGTGGCCATCCACCCTGGGGGAGGGGGGGAATCCTCGCTGCTTTCTGTCTCTGTCTCTCCAGCGACTGGAGAAAAAAAAAAGAAAGAAAAAGAAGAAAGAAAGAAAGAAAGAAAGAAAGAAAGAAAGAAAGAAAGAAAGAAAGAAAGAAAGAGAAAGAAGAAAGAAAAAACGGAGGTTAAAAGTATCAGGTGGTCAGAAAAGTCATGACTTATTTCCTGCGTTTTTTTATACGACAATACATCGTGATTTTTCAGATGACCCAAGAGAATTCTTTGCTTAATGAAAACAATCTTCAATAATCGAGATAAAGAAAAATAGTAGTAGGGAACCAGAAACTTGGGGAATTTGTCACCAGAAGATACGTGCTGAGTGGGTAGCTTTGTGTCCTGGTTAAGAACAGAGAGGACAGTGAGAAGGCAGGGAGGCCAGCTTGGAGGCCGCCCCAGGACTGTAGGCAAGCTGTGACAGTGGCTAGACCATGGAGCTAGCTCTGGAAGTGAGGGGACGTGGGTGTGCTTCAAAAATGAACACGTTTGAGAACGGGCCTGCCTCGATCTGCTGTTGAATTAAGTACAGGCTCTGAGAAAAAGGGGGGAGTCAGGATGCCCCCCAAGTTCTGACCTGAACTAATAGAAGGATGGGGTTGCCGGTGCAGAGGCAGGAAGACTGAGGAAGGAGCTGGCTTGGGGGCAAATGAAAGGGTTATTTTTGAAGTCGCCAAATTTAGAATCTGGCCAACAGTGGCTGCGTCAAGGCAGCTCCTGGCTATGGAAGGCCGCCCGCGGCGGGGGAGAGGGCCAGGCTGCGGGTTAACGTGGGACGAGCGTCAGCATGGATTCCTTTCCTTTTCCATCTCTCCCTTACAGCGGTGGTTATGACGGGCAGTTCAAATAGCTAGCGCTGCTCGCGGGGTGCCAGGTCTGTGTGAGACACTTACGCGCATGGTCGTTCGGTCTCGGCAGCTACTGTGTGACGTACTGCTCCCACTACTTCCGACCGGAGATGTGAACACTGAAGCTTAAGAGGAGAAATGATCAATACAAGGTCATACAGATATCAGCTGACCTCCATTTTGCCCCAGGCTTTTGTAGTAGAAAATCAGCATAACCTTTGTGTTATTCTATTTTTTTAAAGAATTATCCCTTTAATTTCATTTATTATTTTTTTAGAATTATTTATTTAATTTTATTTATTCATTTATTTTAATTTTCCCAGAGGGAGACACAGAGAAAGAGAGAGAGAGAGAGAGAAAGAAAGTAAGCCACCAGGTCCAGGACTCGAACCGTGGTCAGCCATGTGGAAGTATCCAGCACCTTAACCACCATGCCACCTGCTGGTCCAAATTTAATTTATTATTCTTCTTCAATTTGAACAAAGAGAGTCGGGGGGTGGGGGTAGAAGAGAGAAAGCAAGCCACCAGATTTGGGACTTGAACCGTGGTTGACCATATGGGAGTCCAGTGCCTTAACCACCACACACCTCTGATTGTGTTATTCTAACCCTACCGAGTTACTTGGTATACCCTGGTTAATTACTACGTGCCGGTGAATGAACAGATGGCTGGCATCAGCTTGGAGAATGGTTACACTCCAGCTTTGTGGTGTAGAAGATTGCCCAGGCTTGGAGAGCAGGGTAGGCCCGGGGCTCAGGAGAACATGACGCCCCCCACAGGGCCTTGCAGGGAACCCAGGCCTGCGTGAGCCAGCCACATGTCCACGATACCAACTTACCTTCCCAAGACCCAGGACCCCTCCGGGACTCTTCCCAGAAAGTGTGTCTCCTCCCTGCCATGTCTTCCTGATCTAGCATAAACAAATGCCAAGGTTTCCAGAGCCTTCCCAGGCTTCGGCATGGAGGGTGTCTAGTCCTGGCAGTTGAACAGGAAGGAGGGATCCATGAGGAAACTGAGGTCCAGAAAGGGGAAGCACCTGCCCAGGTCAGGAGGGCAGGGCTGGATGATCTCAGAGCAAGGGCCACTTCTCCAAACCAGGCTCTGTGCCCAGGGTGGAGTGTTGTGTTGGCCGAGGGTGTCATGATGTTGGCAAGACAACCCACTTCTGTCTCCTTTTGCCAAGATGCTTGGGAGGGGCCCTGCGGATCGAGTGACTGTAGAGTCACAAGAGGACACTAAAGCCTTTGAGTGGCAGAATCAGGTCTCGAACTCAGGTCTGGCTGACTCCAGTTCAAGTGTTCTATCCACCAGTCCACAAAGAGCCTATTAAGCCTCAGGGCTTTGCTGCCCTCCTGGCCTGGAACCCTCTCCCTTGCTTGCCTCTCGAATGGCCAGCCGGGTTGTATCAGTCACCCTCAGAGAGGCCTCCGAAATCGAGAGTGCCCCGTTAGCATCTCACCTCCCCGTGTTCCCGCACTTCCTCATCATGTGCGTCCGCCCCATCGCTAGCTCCTGGTGAGGAAGAACTTGGTGTTGCACCAAAGCCTCCCAGGCCTGTAGTCAGTGTTACTCGCATTAATGAAGGAGTGAGTGAGTGAATGCGCCCTGCTGCTTAGCCTAAACAGTCACGGTCAAGAACGAGGCGAGCTACGGTGATTTCCTGGCCCGATGGAGCGCTTCTGTCGCCACGGTGCCATGGAGGTGCGCACCCTTCGTCCTCTGCCGACCCCAGACCCTCCTGAGCTGAAGAAGGGTGCAGGGCCGCTCTCCCGGCCCTCGGCCTGGAGAGCCCCCAGAAATGTCCCCAGCAGCAGGCCACCCTCCCACCTGCCACCCAGAATGCAACCTGCCATGAAAACAGCCGGGCCGGCCTGGACCCGGGTCCAGGCTGCGGGAGGTGTGGGAACGGGGCGCCAGGCCGCATTGTTTGCCTCTGTGTATGGCAACTAGAAACCTCGCAGCCAGCACTTCTCAGAGGCTCCCTGCCCCCCTTTATTTTAATCTCCTAAACTGATTTGTCAGCAGCAGGAAGTGACATGACAGCTTTCCTCACAAAAGGGAAACTCCTCCGCGTTACCATGGGGATGGAGGCCACTGTGGGATCACAGATTTATATAATCTTAAAGGTGTACACACCATGATGTCATCCCCGGAGGGGCCGGGAGGGAGAGAAACAGGGCCCGAGGCGGCCAGTCCCAGCGGGTCAGGTGCGATTGGCATAGTTGTGGACGGGAGAGGATGCGGGCAGGCGGGGCGTTAGGGGTCGGGGTAGCCTAAGGAAATAAGAGGTGCTTAGAAAAGCATGGCTCTACATGGATGTGTTTCCTACATCCTAGAATTAGAGGGCTGGGAGGGGCCTTAGCCACCTCGGACCAACGGGTCAGTTATGGGGTGGGAAAACAGGCCAGGACCCTCTGCAGGTCACCGGGACAGGGCGCGTGGCGCTGTCTCCAAGGCCGCTGCCTGCCGGGCACTTCGTGCTGGTGGGCTCACTTCTCCCTCGGGGGAAGCAGATTTTATTGTCTTCAAGTTACACAGGAGGACACTGAGGCCCAAGGGAGATATAGATTTCCACTCGAAAATGACGTGGCAAAGCCATGAAGTCTGCTTGGTACAAAACCAATCTTTCCACACCGTCAAACCTTCTCTTCGACTGAATTAGGACGTTGGTCCCCAGAATTCCTTCAGACCTGGGCTCCGATCTCTGCGACGCTGGCCGTTTGCTGTGGGACCGCCGTGGCTATGTCGCTCCCCTCGGTGGGTGCTGTGCACCCGACACGTGATGCCAGCCCGGCAGCTAGAGCAAGCTCACACCACCCGTGTTGAATGATCGCACTGTCCCTGTTTCCGACTTCCACGGGGAAATAAACAGCTACAGATACAGGCATCTTTCTTTCTTGGCTTTGTCCCTAAGAAAACTATTCTTCAGTCAAACGAGACTTTTCTGGAGGGCCTCAATGTGGCAAACCCCTGCGTGGGGAAGGGGTTTAACACCCTGGCTCACAGGCCGACTGAAGAGGAGTGGCTTGAGCAGGGAGAAGTGAGTGGATTGTTTTCACTGGCGGCTCCCTCAGGCTGCCTGTATTTTTCCACTGCGTGGATCACACTGGAGATTAATTTGGGTTCGGCCAGCGCCCGCCAAGCAGAAAGTGAAGGCTCGAGCCCACAGGGAACTCAGCCGTGGCATCTACACCGACCCGACGTCGCTGGTACATTTCCACGACGGGAGACACTTGCGTAGAGCACTTCTAGGCTTTGATAAAACACTGGGTACGGTTTGTTTTGAAAGGCAGGAACATACTTGTAATTGGAAACCCCGCTGAGGAAACCGTAAGTTCTTAGAACACGGGGATCTTTCAGGCCCCGGAGTCAGATGGCAGCCTGCGGACCAGGGGGAAAGGTCAAGGACACTGACTCTTCCAAGACCTTGAATGTCGTTGTTGGGCTGGGCCAGGACCGTGGCACAGCCTGCCCCAGAAGTGGGCTGGGATGTTTGCTTTTCTGCTTCCTGCAGCATTTCATCCAGAAACAAGGGGCAGGGAGGGGACAGGCGCTGAGAGGCCGCGAGCTCGGCTGTGACTTCATCCAGCGTTAGACTATAGACAGGACTGGGCTTGGGAGTTATTACACTTTGTCTTAGCCTGCTTGGCAAGAGTACAGATTCAGAATATTGCTCTAGAGCAAGCCAGATTAAACTGCCCGTCTTCAACAAAATTATGAAACCAGAGTAGCAAGTGGCCTGAAGGTGACAGCCACCAGAAACGCTGTGTCTGTATGCAAAGGTGGCGACAGGGACTTCCTTCAAAACAGTAATGATGGTCAGGCCCGGGTGGGGGCACTGCAGGTGTTTTCTCTACATCGCATTTGCTTACAGCGCTTCGATTTTGAAGTCAGGTAATGCACTGTTTTTACAAAATAGAGGTCTTGACACAGGAAAGAGCACGTGACAGGCAAGTGTAAAGTGCAAAGCTCATGGAACTAGGAAACAAACAGCCCGGGCATCCAAGTCCCTTACTCGGGCCACTGGGAGGCTCTATCTTCATGTACAAAAAGCCTCTGGGGGAAGGGAGTACAAGCTGCCTTGCGCACAGTAGGCACACACGTCGAGCCCTCTAGAAAACGTCCATAACTCTCACACATCTCCACGAGGACATGGGAACTTTCTATTATCCCGAGGAAGGTATTAAGGGAGAAACGTGATCGAGACAATGGCCACTTCTTCCTGCTTTGGCCCTGGGACGCCTGTGTTCCCTGGGTGCCACGGCAGGTGGTGGGCACTCTCACCCAGAACCGGGTTCGGCTACCGCACCTGACTTCTCGTGACCTCACTCATCTCCTTCCTTGTGGCCCAGTCATCTTGGGGGAAGGAAAGGCCACCAAGTGGTTTGGGATCCGAGCTCAGGACACACTTTCTGAGATTCGCTCCTATTTTCTTCCCTACTTCCTGACTGGCAAAGGGATTGGAGAGGGTGGTCAAGGAAATAAAGCACCGAGGTGTCAGTAGAAATGCCATAATTTATTCTGTTGTATAAAAAAGTCATCCTCATGTAACAAAATGTCTTCTTAGAAGAAGAAATATATTATTTCAGGTCATAAATAATCAGCAAACATACAACTGTTGGCAACTAAAAAAAAAAAAAAAACCAAGACCAACACTGGTGTTTCTGCATCAGTGCTGAAACGAACCTGCTGAAGGTGTATTTACAGGAGAGTACAGTACTCAAACACAAAAATTGAGGTATTTGGTTCTTCTAGGAGTAGACACTGACGTCTGTGAAGGCAGGTCGCCTCCCCCAAAATAAATAAGGTATATTCTCATACGTGTATGTGTCGTCGGGAATGGTAATACCGGCAGGTGGTGGGCACTCTCACCCAGAACCGGGTTCGGCTACCGCACCTGACTTCTCGTGACCTCACTCATCTCCTTCCTTGTGGCCCAGTCATCTTGGGGGAAGGAAAGGCCACCAAGTGGTTTGGGATCCGAGCTCAGGACACACTTTCTGAGATTCGCTCCTATTTTCTTCCCTACTTCCTGACTGGCAAAGGGATTGGAGAGGGTGGTCAAGGAAATAAAGCACCGAGGTGTCAGTAGAAATGCCATAATTTATTCTGTTGTATAAAAAAGTCATCCTCATGTAACAAAATGTCTTCTTAGAAGAAGAAATATATTATTTCAGGTCATAAATAATCAGCAAACATACAACTGTTGGCAACTAAAAAAAAAAAAAAAAACCAAGACCAACACTGGTGTTTCTGCATCAGTGCTGAAACGAACCTGCTGAAGGTGTATTTACAGGAGAGTACAGTACTCAAACACAAAAATTGAGGTATTTGGTTCTTCTAGGAGTAGACACTGACGTCTGTGAAGGCAGGTCGCCTCCCCCAAAATAAATAAGGTATATTCTCATACGTGTATGTGTCGTCGGGAATGGTAATACTGGCAGGTGTGTCAAGCATAAAGTTTCTACGAAGAAACAGAGGCAAGCAAAAAGAAACTTGCTCCCAGAGTCCTTTCTCTTCTGCCCTGTTTTGTCAGAGGGGCCTGATGCACCCCTACACATTGGTCCCGAATGTGCTGAGTTCAGCGACGTCTTGACGCCAAGTCATCACTTTGACCACTTAGGAACCCAGTGGAACTAGGGTGCAATTAAATAAATAAGGACCAGCCCTCACGAGCCCCCTCCCTGGAGTTAACGCATTCCTCCTCTCAGCAAGGAGCCTGGAGTCCTGGTAGGTGACAAGGTCCTGGCCTCCCCAGCCTCTCAGCAGCTGGGAGAGGTGGTGATAGGGCTCTGCAGGTAGCTCAGAGCACTGTTCGTGGGGTGCACAGGGATGGAGACGGGGAAGTTGAAGACCGTGGTGGTGGAGGTGCCTCGGTCGAGCACGGCCATGGCGGGGCTTCCCGCCTCTGCCGTTCAGTGCGGAGCCAGCACCTGGGACTCGAACTGCAGCAGCTGGCCCATGAAGCTGAAGTTGGGCGAGATGATGCTCCGTCTCTGCTTTACAAACTCAAAGGCCTCGTCCAGCTTGACCCGGTTAGTCCTCATGAGGTACGCCAGGCAGATGGTGGCCGACCGGGAAATGCCCGCTTGACAGTGGACAAACACCCTTCCTCCCGCGTTCTTGATGGAATCTGGAGAGCAAAGGGCACTGGTTACTGGAGAGAACACGAGATGCACTCGGCCCAGGGGCAGGGTGTCTACAGAACCCCGTGTCTCCTATTGGTGGTGGACAGTACCCTCACACCACCAGGTTGGCACGTCCATGGAGGCCACACGGGCACTTGGCCAAAGGACTGCAGGGAACGTAAACCCAGACTGGGCACTTCCACTTAGCTCGGTCTCGGAAAGTGAATTCAACTTTTTGAACTCAGTTTGCTCATCTGTGGAATGGGACATCGGATCCCTATTTGGCAGGGAGACTGCTCACGCCAGACCGTACTTAATGTCTGGGAGGAGGCTCAGCAGAGTCTCATTCAAGTCTTCTGCCCAGGGGTTAGCAGTGGCTAAAATGGGGAAAGGGCAGCAGAGAAGTCGAGGCACCCGTTGCATTTACCTATGAAGTCGATCGCCTCGTTGAACCAGGAGCTGATGTCTGCCTTGTGGCTGTCCTCCACGGGTATGCTCTTGTACTGGTAGTGACCCTCAAAGTGGTTGGGACAATTGGCTGAGACGTTGATCAAGGCAGTGATGCCCAAGGCATCCAACATGTCTTTGCGGGAAGCGTGGTAGGCGCTGCCCAGGTACAGGAAGGGCAGGATCTCTACTGGGCCACCCTGAAATCCAGAAATAGCCAACCCTTGTCAGGCTTGCTCAGAGCCAACACCAGCGCCCACCCCGCAGAAACGCTGCCCGCCCAGTCGGTCAGTGTCAGGTACCAGGTGACCTCAGCTGCCAGAGCCTGAGTGAAAGGGAGCCTGAGCTCAGTTGCCTGGGGAGGGCCAGCAAGTTCATTTAGTCTGGCCAGCCCTTCAGCTCACTTTCCCGTGGAATAAATAAGGGCCCCTGTCCCCGTTATAAATAAAGCTGCAGGTCACTTGTTATATTCCCCCTGGCACCTCTGCTCCTCCTGGCCTTTGCCAGTCCTCCCTCCCGCCCTCTGGCACAGGCCCCTACTAACCTGGTCGTAGAGTGGGGTGCTGCAGGAACTGCACCCGGACTCGGCGCTGTCAGGGACACTAGTACTCAGGGGAAGGCTGAGCCCCATGGGGGTCGACTGCTTGCTGCACAGCTCCGGGCAGGAAGCGGAGAAAGCTTCATATCCTCCTGGGAACACAAAGACATTTTTTCCCCATTAGCATCGTGGAGACGGAGCACCTTCGGACAGCTCTCCCCCCAACCAGGGGCTGGAAGTTTACACTGCAGCGGCCCACGCACGTCTTTGTTCCCAGAGCCAAACAAAGCCAATGACAAGTCCCCTGAGATACCATGGCGCCAGCGCGCGCCAGGTGCGGCAGCACCCCGGGAGCTGAGGGCCAGGGGTCCCCAGCAAAGGGCGCAGGGGCGGCGCCCGCCGCGGGCTTCCCCGAGGGCGTACCTTTGAGGAAGAAGACCTGCGCGGTGCGCGCCTCGCGGCAGAGCGCGCCGGCGGCCAGGGCCAGGGTGCCGTCGCGCTTGGCGCCGTCCAGGGCGGCGCTGCGCTCGTCCAGCAGCACCACGGCGTGGTAGGCGCCGGCCAGCAG